AGTATTATCCAGTCTTTTACATATTTTTAATATGTGTAAAAACTAGGGTTATTCGGCGAAAAACAAAACTTACAAAAATCTCGCATTTTTATCTTCCGTCAAATTGATTTTGCGGAAGTTGTATATGCGCAAATTTATCTTTTCTTAAAAAAAACGCCTTATACGAAAGAAATAACTTATATTAATTCCGTAATAACGCTTTACGAAAAGAAACTTGCGAAAAAAATCATTTCGAAATAATACTTGCGAAACAGTTCCTTATGGAATGAGCATCAATAGTTTATAATTATATATATATATATATATATATATATATATATATATATATATATATATATATATATATATATATATATATATATATATATATTTATATATATATATAAATATATATATATATATATATATATATATATATATATATATATATATATATATATATATATATATATATATATATATATATATATATATATATATATATATATATATATATATATATATATATATATATATATATATATATATATATATATATATATATATATATATATATATATATATATATATATATATATATATATATATATATAGTTGGACCTGTACATTATTTGAAATAATTGGACCAGTACATTAGTTAAGGAACTTTTTGAAATATTACAATATGAAGCTTTGAACTTCGCTAATAACTAATTACTTAACTTTAGTAAATAGTTATTAGTGAAGTTCAAAAGTTTTCACTAAAAAATAAGTCTAATTGAAAAAATTAAACCAGTCGAAACAGTTATATAAGAGACAGGAGGGTAAAAAATTTCCTTTACACTAAAGGAAATTTTCTACCCACCTGTCTCTTATATAACTGTTATGACTTGTTTAATTTTTTTAATTAGACATTTTTTAGTGACTTATCCTACTCTTTTATTATCTGATTTTTTAAAAGTATCCTTTAGACGATAGATGTAAATAATTTTTCTCTTTTATCATTCTTTAAAAGTTCAATATGAATAATTTTAATTAAAATCAATATTTATACTTAATTATAATCCAACCTAAATATAAATAAGAAAAATATATTTAAAGATGGAATTGATTTAATATTTTTTGAAATGATTTTTTTATAATAATTTTTTAAAAAGTTATGGTTTTAGTTTTAGTATTTAGTAAAAAATATATAACACAGCAAAAACATTTAAATTAAAATTTCAGTGGATCTATATAGGCATTTTAGGTAATTGCAGTTTTGGTAATCATTTATTTGTTTCATTATATAATGTAATCATTCATATCATTATATAATGTAATCATTATATAATGTAATTATATATAATTAATAATTTGTTTCATTATATAATGTAATCATTCATTAATTGCAGTTTTGGTAATCATTTATGGCCCATCAGTGGTAGCAGCCAAATGTGGCTAATATGAATAACCACTATATCACTTGCTAGAATGTTACTGGCAATTTACTAAGTAACCGGTGAGAAACTCTCCTTAATTTCTCCTTATTTTTTTTTATCATCTAGGAAATTTTATTAAAGTGAATAGATTATACTTATTAATAAAGAAGTTATATAGTCCTTTAATAGATTGCAAACCTATATTTCTATCGTATATATATATATGTATTTTATATATATATATATATATATATATATATATATATATATATATATATATATATATATATATATATATATATATATATATATATATATATATATATATTATAATAGCATATTATTTCTTAATTAACTAATTTATAGTCTTTCATTCATTTACTTACTTATCTTAAGAATAATCAAATAAAAAAAACGTTTAAAGTTAAGAATAGTTTTGATCTTTACTAGTGTGATTCTATCGCCAACTTTCTCGAATGTGATCAATCATTTTTTGATACAAATGTTCCAAAAAGTAGTATACTTTTTATTATGGTTAAATGTTTAGTTTTCTTTATAAGGATAAATTACTATCATAAATTACATAAAAAATTTTAATCTGTAGTTATATACATAATGCTCACTTTACAAATAAACATAATTTACACAAAATTTTTGAATTGATATCTATATCCTAAATTTGAAACACTAATAAATTGCTTCTATGCTCAATATAACTTACACTAAATTGTCCCATTCAATTACACTAGTGTTTTATCTTTTGAATTTAGAAATAGAAGTTATTAAATGTTGGTGGCTCATGCAGTGCATTTGAGAAGGGCATGCTTTCAAAGTAAGTATAATTTTACTATAAATAGAGGATTTTTAATACCGCAATTATATTGCATACTTGATATACATAAAAATATACGCTGGTCACAACAATCCAGTCAAAAATTTCTTTAAAAAAAATAAATTTAGTGTTGAGAAATTCTTATTTTTTGATGTTTGATGATATGTTTGTAAAATAATAATTATATATATATGTGTGTGTGTGCGTGCGTGTGTGTGTGTGTGTGTGTGTGTGTGTGTGTTATTTATTTCTTTCCCCTTTATTTTTACATACTTATCTTGACAATATTTTTTTAGGGTTAAGACTGCTCCCCTGATTCCTACAGCAAAAAAAAGTTTAAAATGCTGGTGATAATATTTTAAAGAGTGCACCTGATCGAAAAGAAGGTGAATGACGTCAACTGTTCGAACATTCGATTCTTGGAAATCAACAAGTGGAAGAAGAAGTTTATAAAATTGTAATTTATAAAACTCAGCACAATTATATTATTAAAAAGTTTAAACGATTTATTATTTTTTTCTTATTCTCAAGAAGTTCTGTGAAAACATATATTTGAACCTTAGGTTTAAGTAAAGCCATATAAAAACACGTATTTTAGACGTCGAAATGAAAACGTCTAAATTAGGTTATTTAAAGATGTCATTTGGCGTTTCCATTTAGCACTAGTTCTGAACGTCCTAAATTCACGTATTTTAGACGTCTAAAAACACGTCTTTATTCCGTTTTAAAAAGACGTCCTAATTACGTCTTAAAAAGACGTCATCTGACGTTGCCATTTAGAACCAGTATCGGACGTCCTAAAAAGACGTCCTTTCGACGTCATATGGACGTTTCCGTGCCCGCTGGGGTGTAAATATTAATTGGCAAAGTTTTTTAATTTCAACTTAACAATTTTAATCTGAATTTCAGGTTTTATTTTATTCAGATCTCTCAACTCCGGGATATCATATAAAAGAAGCTTGTTTAACATGTTGATCTTTAGTTTTTACTTCTTTATCAGCAAAAGCAAAAAAATACATGTTGAGAGAACAGATATCATAAGGCTTTGGTAAAGAATCTTTCTTGCGGCTGCAAATTCTTGAAAATAGTTTATTATATGTTGCTTAAAAACATTATTGAACGCTATTATACCGTTTGAGGGTGCGTAAGTAGCATTTTAGATCTTTAGAAAAAATAATCCATGAAAAGATTATATTTAATTGCAGTCTTCAGATTACTTAATGTGTTTTTTCTCTCTCAGAATTAAATGGTGATATATTTGAGTTACCTGAATAACCAGCAAGTAGATACAACCAGCCGTAAACATTGTGTCATGATGTCATTTTAAATGAGAAGTTTGATAACTCTGCTCCTATATAAAACGCCAAAAGCTCACAAAGATACCTGTAATCAACCACCTAATTTGGGTTTTTCTAGTTTCCAAGCTACAATTACCGCACTTTTTTTGTAAACCATCATTCTAATTTGACATTTCTAATAAAATAAAAATATTTGAAATTTTATAATATATAGAGTAATGTATCACAAACCGGACAGTGCGCAAAAGCGGACACTTATCGGGAAAACTAAATATTTTCACTAAAAATAAAGATACCTGCAAACTTTAAAGTTTTTAATTTTCAGTGCGTGGAAAATTATAAAATTAAAAAAAAAATTAAAATGATTGCTTTAATAAGATACTTAAATTCAAACAAAACCTAAAAACCATAAAAAACAAACTTTTTAAATTCTAATTTAAATTTCAAAATGCTTATTAACTTTCCAAGTTTCAATTCCAAAATGATTGTTAACACCCTGCAAAAAAAGCCAGAAGTATCATAAATTGAATGGTCAAGTTTTTACAGAAGAAGCATGGTTAAACCAGAGAAAAGCCAGAGAAGCAAGTTTTATGAAAAACTTGTAAAAAATCAAGTTGCAGTTCGTGGCTTTGTGAACCTTGTCTTCCAAAATGATATATAAAAGGCAAAGAATTCTTTTGAATTAAAAGTTGCAGAACCTAGTTTATAAATTTTTTACTTTATTTCAAGCTCAAGCTTGCTTATATTTTATATTTATTTCTTTTTTAGTTTTTTCTGCTATTATTATTATTGCTTTTATTATTATTATTATATGTATATTTTAACGATCAAAAAATAGAACATTGAGTTTGTCATTTTTTTATGTTTTTTTCACATAATTTGAAACTGTCCGCTTTTAGGGACAATTTTGCAAAAAGCCGACACTTTTAAAAAAAGTAAAATTTTATTTTCCATTAAAACTTGAAATTAACTTTTTTTTTTTTTTTACACTGCAGAATTGCTCCAATAAACAACTGTAATCCAGAAAAAAATCTTACAATTTCTCAATATTAAAAAAGTTATTTACCTTTTTATGAAGAGTGTCCGGTTTGCGGTTTGCATTTTTAAATATATATATTTTGTATTGTCATGTGCATATAATGCTCATCCAGAGAGAGGGGCCAGATGGAATTTAAATTTAGTAAACATTCTGGTTATATAATGCATAAACATTCTGGTTATATAATGCATGTCATTATATAAACATTCTATATATATATATATATATATATATATATATATATATATATATATATATATATATATATATATATATATATATATATATATATATATATATATATATATATAATTTCCATTGTTTTTACATTTACATTAAATTTTTCGCTAAAATTAAACCGCGGTTGTTAAAAGTGTTTGCGAAAACGATGAATCATACACAATTGGATGAAACATAAATAAACACCATACTCCATAAAAATAGTTCTTTTAAAATAAAATCATTTATACAAATTTATACAAACTTATTTTTTTATAAAACATTTCTTCTTTGTCGCATGTTTCGTTGTTCAATTTTTCATATACTGTTAAGAATACACAGTTAAGACGCTAGTTTGGTTCCCGCGTATAAGTAATGTTGGAGGAAGATTTGCGGTTAAAACCTCTAACCAGCTCATATACATCAATGGCGTTACAAACGAACGTTTTGGAATGGGCAGCGTAAGTACTATTAGTTTTGCTTCGCTTGAGTGTTCGTGTAAAAGTTCGCCAATACGTATTTGTCGCAAAGTTTTTACATCAAGATTACCATCAGCCGGTAAATGTTGTCCGTTGCGAAGTTTTTTAAATTCATTAATATTTTTATCTTTTGGATATTTGTTGATTCCTTGAAACTCAACTACGCTTGAAAAATCAATTCGAAACTTTTTTAACAATGTGGCCATTTTTATTTGATTGGCTTCAATTGTCACTTCAGATGCTGGTGTAAATATACGTAACTTACACCCTTTCCATTTACTATGAAGTGATAATATATGGGGTACTAATATTGTTAATCCACCATCGTCGTATAACCACCAAACATCAATAGTACCTTTACTCTTTGGACTAAAAAGATTAGTAACTACACCTGATATGGAGGTTGGTGATTGAAGCTTTCTTTTTTCTTCATTTAAAAACTCAACTAAATAAGATAAACAAAAAACAAATTTTCATAATAATAAAATTTTATTTGAAAAAAACAAGAAATATTCAGTAAGATTAATTTATAGTATAATAAAAACTTTTTTTTTTTTTATAAATAGTAACAAAATTAAAAATAAATAAACAAGAAGAAATTTGTTTACAAACTTATTTAAATTTAGACTAAGTTATACATACATGAATTTTTAAATAATATGTCAGGAACATTTATAGTTTCATTGGGTTTTAGTAAGCCGTTTATATCTTTCTTTGCAATTGCTCCGTTTTTCTCTTTTATTGAAACCACTTCATTTTTCTCATTTGGTGCAACAACTTCATTTTGTTCATTTTCTCCTATCAATCCGTTGGTATCATTTGGACTGTTAAAACGCACTATTCCTATTCCGTAATTTAACTCCAAGGCATCATCAATAATTTGAAAGTATTCATTAACACGGTGAACGTCAACTTTTTGCCAACAGTGCATGTAACCCATTATGAGTGTGTTTGGTTTAAGCTTGCCAAGACCAACCGCTTGGAGTAAACATCTAGCTCCTCCACCAAAACTCTCATCTAGATTCACGACAAAGCACTTTTTATTTAAACATTTATATATATATATATATATATATATATATATATATATATATATATATATATATATATATATATATATATATATATATATATATATATATATATATATATACATATATATATATATATATATATATATATATATACACACACACACAGTATTCATTTATTTTTACAAAAAAAGTATACTATGTTATAATTAAATAAATATATATAGTTTTAGTAAATTTATTCTTAAAGGTTTTTCAAAAGCTCTTTTTTCAACATTAGAGGCCTTTAAAAATGCACCATTTTTGGCACTAGAGGTTTCCACCCAGTGGGTACAGAATGTCAGCTATACGTCTTAAGGATTTTCTGTAGATTTGTGACGTCTGTAAGACGTTGTATAGAGGTCCCACGCCCATTTGCGCCCGCATGGCAGGTTTTTTTGATTGGCCTCTAATGTTAAAAGTATTAAACATTTATTCAATTTAACTTATAATATAATACCTCTTAAATAAAATTTAAAAAAATTTAAAAGTAAATTGAGCACATTTAAAAATTTATACTTTGAACAATTTGATGAAAAGCTTTTATCTTATTGTTGTTTAACCAAGCTACTTGGTTGCTTTTCGGCAAGCTCAATGTTGACGCGATTCTTACTTCTCCGCATATCATTAAACCAAAATGGTTTGTTATATGAGATACAAAATGAACTAAGCTCGGTCGTAACGAAGGTTGACCTGTTAAACACAACACTTGAACTCTAAAGTTTTTAACATGTTCATCAAATGTTTCTAAACGTCTAGCTAATCGAACGGCTTTAACATAAGTATGTGCGCTTCTGGATGTTCCCCAATTGATCTAAATTGCCAAATATTCCAGTTATATACAGAAAATATTTTATTTGTTTTTTCCTATCATATCAAAAATAAATTTTTGTAAAGTTTGGAATCATAAATAAAAAATAAATGTGCATACGTTTGGTTTTCGAATGTCAACAAATTTGTACAAAAGCCCAACAAAGAGAATGGTAACTAGAGCAGCCCACCAGTTAATTAGAAACATTATGGTAATACACATGAGAAACGCAAATAGTGAAACCCATAAGTTGTAATATTTAAATGAAGGCCTCCATCCTGGCGACTTTGCTAAGGAGGACTGAAACCTAAAACCAAAAAGTTTTTTTTTTCTTTTTTAGAAAAACATATTACTAGTGTTGCAAAATTAATGTCTAATATAACATTTTATACTATATTACTTTTAAAGCATTAATTAGCGTTTGGCACACAAAAACAAAACAAAGTAACAAACAACAAAATTACAACCTAAAATTAACTTCAAAAAATCGCATTTTTCATAACTTTCATTCAACAATATTAAGTTTGAAATAAAAAAATAAAAAAAGTAAAGTCTCTAAATATAAACATCCTCTCTCTAAATATAAACCCGTCTCTAAATCCTTTTTGTTTTTCAATTTTACTACATTTGCAATTAAAATGAATGAAAAGCTGAAAACAAACTTACACTGAATAATTTACTAGAGCAAATGCCATTAAAAAGAAGTTTGAGTTTACTGGGGCAATAGAATTAATTTCTCCTATTGCAATAAAGCCAATTGCAATTCCGAACGCTAAAATGTATCCATATCTTGGCTCTCCATTGCGACCGTATCCTTTACCAAATATTTCTATAAAAGGAAATATTTTGTCTCTACAAACAGCTTGAAACACCTTAGGCGCACTGACCAATGCGGCTAATCCAGATGACAATGTAGCAGCAATTATACCCGCCAAAATGAGTGGTCCCCAAAAAGATATTTTTTCGGTAATCTAAAAAAATTAATCAATTATTCATAGTTATTTTTATTACTAAAAAGTTTTAATCTTACAGCGGTTAAATGACATGATTAAGATTCCATTTTGATTTATTAATTTTATTTTTACAGTTATTCTTTTTACTCATACCAACAATATTTTCAAGCTTTTAATTAGCAAACCTATAGTAATGCATCTTAAGTGCAACAACTTACTTTCTGAAAATCATTACGGATTACTGACTTCTCTTTCTACTGTTAACTCGTTAAGCGTAAGAGTGTTTTTTTGATTAATTGGATACTGTGAGGCAAGAGGTAATGCTTTTGACATATTGAAGAATTTCGATAATGTCAAGCATACTTATCTTTTCCGAAAGCTCTCTTTATATGATAAATTTATGTAAGTTTATGTACTGCATTTTTGTTTCTTGATTATTAATGTGTTGTTTCTCTGTTAAAAAAATTTTAATAATCTTACTCAAAAGTATTTAGAGTATCATTAGCATTGTTTATCAATACATATGTATCATTAGCATCATTTATCAATACGGATAGAATCTCAATACTTTTTTATTGTCTAGATTAAAAAGCTAATTTAACAAGTGATCTTTTTTCTTTAGCAACTGGGGCTAGTATTTTTAGTATTATTTGGTGAATTTTAAACAAACAAAAAACAGTTTTATATTTTTTTACTTACTTTCAGGTAATGGTACATATATATTATTATCATTTATATATTTAGAGAATGACTAGAGTCTTTTCTACTGAATTGTCATAAAAATCATATGTACAATTTATTGGAAAGTTATCATTTACTAGAGCTGTATTACTTTATTGTGCTTGCCATTTTTTAAGTTTTGATATTATTCTCTACTTATGTTAATCTCTGACTTATTTTTGGATGAAAAACTGTTTCATATTTTGGCTGTTTCTTTTAATGAAACCTTTTCATTTTTTGACTCGGTATAAACGTGTTGGTAATATAGCTGTACCTGCTCTACCTTTGCAGGTAGAGCAGGTCTAACTATATAAACAACCTCTGTCCCATTGTTTTAAGGTTACATCTTTTTTCTTTCCTCCAAATGATACCATGGTCCACGATCCTAAGTACAAATTTGCTTAACTTCTAAATCAGCAAAAATGCATTTTCTGACTGTTTTTTTATGTTCAGAAAACTTTAATTTATCTTTCTAAACATCAATGTTTTTTAATTCTCTCTAGATATTTTACTAACTCATACAGTTTACAGTTTTTTAATTCGTTTTTTTTTGGGGGGGGGGGGCTGTAACTCTCTTTGACTCTTTCTAGTAACTTAGCAACTTAAATACTTGCAGTCTTGTTGAAAGCAGAATTGTAAGCCAAAAAAAAAAGAAAGCTCGGTAACTTAGGTGTTTACGATAATTTATTCTCATAATTGTAAAGCTTGATCATTATGTACGGCAGTGATTAAGTTTTACAAGTATGAGAATTGCAGTGATTAAGTTTTACAAGTATGACCATTTTATATATATTGAATTGTATAAGTAAAATAAAGGTTAAATAACAAATTCACGTAAAGGAATACCTGGAAATCATTAACAAGTCCATACTTAGGTAAAGTTATGTTGATGTTAGTTTCATTAAAACTTTCAGTAAATTTATTTCCAATAGGATCTCGTAATGCGCTTGCTCCAACAAACCATACCAATACCAAGTATGAGAAGGAAGTAATTAAAATAGCAAGCAATGTTCCGATGGGTACTGAGTGTGATGGATCTTTCAAATCTCCAGATAAGTTTGCACCGGCCATTATGCCGGTTACAGCAGGGAAAAAAATTGAAAATATTTTGAAAAAGTCTTGTTTATCACGGTAACCAGGTTTCAAATTTTCTTTAAATGTTTCAAAGTTGAGGCCCGTGATTCCTTTTGCGAGCACATTTTCTCTAGTTTCTGTTACTGATGAGTAAAAGGAACCAACAATTACATTCAAAATTGCTAAAATGATTAACACCATCAAAACAACTTGAGTATGTATAACCCAATCCAAACCAAACATAGTTATTATGAAACATAATATTAATGCAATTAATGCAACAATACGAATGTCATTTTTACGATCAATTATTAACACGTCATACCTCTCCATTATTGACTGAATGGTTTCAGCAAATCCAACTAAATAAAACGCAACAGCAACAGCATTTGCTATTGAAAAAATTACGCCAATGCTACCTCCGAATTCTGGTCCAAGACTTCGAGATATCATGTAGTATGCTCCTCCTAAAAGGAAAAAAAACGTTGTAAAAATAAGTTAAAAAATTGAACGATAGAAAAAAAATTTAAAAAATAAAATATTAATAAAAAAAAAAAGAAATAAATAGATATATCGAGTGACTTTACTTTGTATAGCTATTTCGTTTCTATGGCTACTGACCTCCCAATACTTCTCCATTTGTACAAATTGCGGACATTGACAGGGTTGTTAAAGTTGTTACAAAAGTGGCAAGCAAGACAATTGCTGTCGCATGTGCAATGCCTGCCTGGCCCACAATCCATGGTATTCTTAAAAAAAGAATTACGCCCCAAATATTTAGAAGAGTTGGTATAAGTACACCACGTATCCACCCCAATTTTGTAGCAGATCTGCTGTCATTTTTTAATAAAACCTCTAACTCTTCTTGTTTTGTTGGATCCTATAAAAATTTGCAAAAAATTATTGAAGGAGTTAGTACAAATAAATAGAATCGTCGCGTACCCTTCAATATAAATAGATACAAATAATTATTACGTAATACTGTTATCAAAGAAATTTAAAAAAATAAAATATGATGATACTCTTTAAATAAACAACAAAAAAAATAACTTTTATTTAAATCTTGAAAATTTTATATATTTGTAAAACAAACAACATTTTATACCCAATGTCTTTTCTTAGCATTTTCCAATCCTACTCCTTTATGAAGCTGTTCCAAAGTTGGCCTGGTATTATTTTGAGTTTTGTCAATTGTAAGGTGTTTTTTGTAAAATACAGATAGCGGTACTGCATCATGAGTAAAGTCATTTAGCATTGAGCGACTGTGCGATGATATATGCCCGCTGTCTATACTATTCCTAACGGGCGAATATGTATGGTTTAAAGTTTGTTGATCCATGCTAAATGAATCAAATTCCTGGATTTCGCTACGTTCTAAATTTAGTTTTTTTATATTTTTATGTTTATCAGATCCATCAACGCTAGATATTTTTGAACCTGTGTTTGGATCAATGAAGTCCTTTTCAGAACAATCAACTGCTCTAATAAAACTATCTGATTTTTTTAAATACCGGTTTGACATTCCAATATTAACAAGTTACTGACTGTTTTCTAAAAAAAGATACGTTGAAATAAATAAATCTGTAAAAATTTATGAAAGCTATAAATATAAGTTTATCAATACTCATAATTCATATAAGTTTATGTTTTTGTTTTCATATCAGCAATTCAAATAAAAGTTTTTTACGATCGAATTTTTATAGATGTCTCCTTTGTTAATATTTAAAAAAAGAAAATCACTGCAGATGTTTGAGTCAGTTTGTTCACAAAAACCCAGACATTAACTTTGCTATCATAATGTTTTACAAAACGTTTGTTGTTTTTATTGTTGTAAAATAAAAGAAAACGAGCTTTAACCTAAAATTTTAATAATTTATTTCTTATAAATTTTCAAAAAGTTAATTTTTTAATTACGTCAATTATCTAAATGTTTTATGAACTTTATTATTTCTATCATTTAAAAAAAAAAGAAAAAAAAAAAAATGAATTTCAAGATAACAAAATTTGATTTAATTTAACTTAAATGTTTTAACGAAGTTTTTTTTTGCATTCGTCAAATATAAAAAATATATAAACAAATAAAAAAATGTGTTAAAAGATAAAAAAAATTAAAAAATTTAAACAAACATTAGTTTATTAAAATATATTAATTTAATTATAGAATTAAATTAATATATTTATTTTTATGATTAAATATAAAAAGTAAAAAATAATAATTATATTATATATTATTTATATATATTTATAAATTAATATATATTTTATATTAATAAAATTATATATATATGTTTTGTTTATTTAACTTTTTTTATTTCTTAAATTGATATATATATATATATATATATATATATATATATATATATATATATATATATATATATATATATATATATATATATATATATATATATATATATATATAATATATATATATATTCCTAATCGGCGTTTATGGGACATGTTTTTTTAGTTAACGTCATGTATTTTTTTTTTACTTTTTCTATACTATTTTTATTATAAAAAATAATTTTTAATTTTTATTATATTTTTATTTTTATCTATACATATTTAAATTTATTTTTTTATTATAAAAATATGTATTCTATAGGTTTTACGGTTTTCTTAAATTTGTTTTTATTTAAAACTCCAACTGGTTTAGTTATTTTATACTTCAGTGGCAAGTTACCTTTAAATTGGAAAAGTTTGCAGAAAAACTTTGTAGCTTGGCAACAACTTCAATAATTTTATAACGACAAAAGCACGTAAAAAATACCCAATAGAGAACGTCGTTTGACATAAAAAAATTTGAATTTTGATAAACTTTATTAATTTATAAATGCTTATAAGTGCTTTCCAAAGATGCCCTCATTTGAACTGAACTAATATGTTAAAAACTAAACCCAAGTTAAACTCGAATTTATTGATAAAGTACTTTGTTCTAATTAAAGTTAACAGCTTCTTTAATTTATAACAGAGTGGTTTTTTAAGAAAAAAAAATTATTTAAGTGAACAAAAATTGATTAAGAAATCTACCGTGACAAAAGCTATAAAGGCTGAAATGTCTCCACAAGAATTATAAGAGCTGTATGTTGAAAACAACGAAATATTTTTTTCTTAAAAAAACATTTGCTAAATAATGTGTCGTTGATTACATCACTGAAGTTTCTAATTTATTAGGAAATTTAAAATAAATAACATTTATAAAGCTTAGGTAAATATCTATAATACAAAAATATAAAAATATACACTAAAAAAAAAAAAAAAAAAGAAAGAAAAAGAAAAAGTATAAAAAATCTAATTAAAAAATTATATTCGCCTAATCATTTTAATAAACTACTTTTGTCATATTTCGGTTCATCATAAAAAAGTTTTTTTTTTTTTTTTTTTTTCCAAATAAATTTTATTAGTTTAAAGCACAATCAAAAGGTTTCTCAAAAGTTGAACAATTAAAATTCTATTGGCTGCTTGTTTCCTCTTAAATAAATTCACATATTTGCATTGAATCTTCTAAAGAGCTCAAACTCTCAATTATTTCTCATACAATTTAGTTATCATTTATTTAACAAGCGGAAAAATATTTTTTGCAAATCCTTTCTTCAAATTTTTATATATAATCTTTGAGCTTCTTATCTTATATCATTCTTTTTTTATATGTGTTTTTATTTTATTTTTTATTTTATTTTAGTGTGTTAGTCTTTATTAAATCTAATTAATTTTATTAATACCAGGGATGTGGATCCCAAATGAGGACTCTGGATTTGTAAGTCTCAAAACAATTCTTTCTCTCTGGTTTTTAATATCCTGAATTTCCAAAAATGCAACGAGGCTTATGAACAACTTTTTCACAAAAGTAGTTCTTAAACCTCTTAAGAAGAGACTTGTGAACTACTTTTTATTTCCATAAATTTTTTGTAGAACGCATTTGAATGTGAACATAAAAAGATTTGGTGTCAAAAAAATCTTAACTAAACGTTGTGAATTTGCTATAAAAGTTATTAATTACATAAATGATTAATAAACTAAACTGCTTGTCTTAAAACTGCTTTTTAACAAGCATTTTATTTCTTTAACTTAGTTTTTAAATTTGTTAATTATTTTAAATTTAATGTTTTTACAAAATATTAAAAGCTGTCTATTAGTATAGACAATTATTAATTTGTTATTCGGTTATGTAAATTTCTGGTTAAAAAAATTTCTTTCAAGATTTTAGTAACAAAAATGTATAAAAAAAATTGCTTTTGTTAATTAGATATAAAATAAGTTCACTTGGTGATGTGCTTAACCAGAGCCGTTGCTACGCTCCCCCATATCCCCAATTAGGGAGAAGAAACCCAGAAAATTTTGGGTCCCTTATGCAAATGTAAAAAGTTCTTTAAAAAAATTTATGGGCGCTTATGACAGGTTTTGGACAAGGGGGCTTCGGACCTAGTAACCACGGTTAAGGATGGCTCTTTTACTTATTTTGATGTAAAAATGCGAACTTTAACGTAAATAACTTTACATAACTCAGATTAAAATATATGATTTACTTATATTTAAAATTAGTTCATTTTTTTTATATAAATTATAAAACATATAAAATTTAGTTACTTAAGTTTAGTTTTTTAAATGAGTAACTGCCCGGTATGAAAAAGATAGCTAGATGATAAAAGAATAGTTTAAAACGTCTAAAAGATGTATTACGTGTTTTACACGTCTTTTACCCACAGGCAGCGACTAGCTAGCTATTCGCTAGCTAGTTGCTTGCTCATTTTCCACCTGGTGTTAAACCAAATGTAATTTACTATTAATGGTAAGTCGTATAAATTAATTTTCTTTCAAAAGTAATTTGGTTATAATTATGTAAGAAATTTACATCGAAAAGTAATTTATTTTATATGTAAAAAAAGTTATTTATGATGTAAACTTACGTAAATATAACACTTAAAAAACATAACACTTACTTTACAAAGTAAAAAAATAGACTAGCTAAAACTCTGACACTTTCATGTTTTGTGTAAATTTGATAAACGTACATGTTAAATTTGCTTTCAGAGCCAACCAAGGAACTTCACTTTTTTGAATTTTTTGTTTGTTTGTTTTTACTTTACAGTTCCGACGACACGGGTTTCGAAATGGAAGGGGGCACAATCGTTAATTCTTAAAAAAATCTTCTATATCTAGAATTTTCTTAATTAAAAAAAAAAAGTCTTTTATAAAAAAAAGTGGGTAGGGGGTGGGGAAGTGTTGCCCTGGCTCCCCCCTGTGTTATTGGCCCTGCTTTATCTTTCAGACTTTTAAGAGCTCTGACAACATTTTTTTGGTCCGATGAACATGCATGTTAAATTTGTTTCTTTGCAAAGAGGGCCTACCCTAACTTTTTTTCTTAAATATATATACTGTTTTAAATTTAGGGTTTATAATTTTTTTGAAAGAAAAACTTTTTAAAAAATAGATTTTAAAAAGACATTTTTTTAATTTACTTGTTTTAGTATTAATTTTTTTGTCGGGAGAAAATAGGTTAGTGGCCCTGAAAAAAGTTTACCGTAAAGGGCCGAGTATATTTCTAGCTATGCTGCTGCTTTTCGCTTCTCTTATTCAGCGTGGTCGCTGTTAACAAGCACTCTAACAGAAATAAAATTAATTTATTTTTGTTGTTTATTTATTAATAGATATTCATAAAACTGTTGTCTGAAGTGAAAGAATTTAATTTAGTTTATTCTAGACAACAGTTATTCCAGTCTAATCCAGACAACATTTATTTCAGTTAATCATTTCCAGAAATGACTTTAATTATTTATTTATTTCGTCATTAAAAAAAAGAATACAATGCCATTTTACATAAATAAAATCTACATGACCGGTGCTAAAAGAAGACAATATTTGCTTTATCATTACGCCCCGTTTATTTGTCTTATGACTACTTTCATTTTGGTTAGATTGGTTTTTAACAACAACTAACTTTTTAAAAACTGTAATTTTTAATAAAAATACAAAACTTAGAATAAAATCGCAAAAAGCAGAGCCATTTCCAAAGCAAGAACATTAAACAAGATAATCTTTTAAAACAAATTAAAAATCAAATGTTCACACTTTTAAATAACTGATGTAAATAACATCAAGATTAATTTAATGAAAATGATAAAAAATAATAAAAATGTAAAAATAAAAGTAACTAACTTAAAAAAAAGAGATAACTTTTCATAACCACAACAACCGTTTAATTTATTTAATATACCGAAATTAGTAGGGTGGTTAAAAAAGCACACTTTTTAAATTAAAATTATATAGTCAATTGTGAAGAAAAGTGTTCTATAAGATAAAATGTCAAGTTCTTTTTTTTTTTTAGTAAGTTTTAGTTAGTTTTTTTTACTTTAAATTTTCAAATATAAAAAGTAAAAAGTTAACAAAAATGCAAATCACACTTTTTGAACAACCCGATTCCAATCACATTTTAAAAATCAGGCCCGTAGCAAGCTTTTTCTTTGAGAATCTAAAGAACTTTATGTAAAGACACGGAGCAAATTTCAAACATTTAGAGGCCTATGTTTATATAAAATAAAAGCTTTGCA